TGCTGATTAATGTTGCAGTGGTATTTTAATTTTGCTGATTATTTATTTTATACGTGCTTGTATTATGCGTTTAAATTGCATACTTAAAATAATTAAATTTGCTTGTGTGTTGTGCTCTTAACTATTTTGTTTTTGTTGGAAATGACTGTCTTCCTAAAAGCTTCAAATATGTTGTACACTTAATTTGTACACTATGTATTTATAAGAGAAAGAAACATTTACTCAAACTTTAGTGGTTTATTTTATTAGGAGATTAGATAATTTTTCAACTTGTATTTGATTTGAGAAACAGACCTGAGAAACTTGTTTTATTGGGAGGGGCTGGATTATAGGCTACTAATTATTTATCAATTGTATGTAAAATGAAACACTGCTTGTAATATAATTTATTTATTTGCACACAGCATTTAAATCAAACAGTTTTATAAACTCACGTTTTTTTTGTTGTTGTTTTTTTTTGTGGGTTGCATCAACAGGTTTTAAAGAGACATCTATTTTAAAAAGACATCTAGTTTAGATGTTTTTACAAACTGGAAATATTTTTAGATATGTGTTTATACATATAGAAATAAAAGAGAAGACAGTTTGAAACCGTTTGTTCAAAAATTGCGCAACATAACTGTTTCAGGAGTTGGAAACACACTAAACATACTGCTGGTCTTCATTGTGGCTTACTGATTAGATTAATAAAGCTGGATTTACAGGATTTTACAAACACAGATTATATTGTGTTATTGCTAAGACAGCAGAGAGGGTCTCACATCATTTGAGTGGCATCATGGGAAATGACAGGGAACTGCCAATCATTCTCAACTTCCTCCAAGAGGGCAGAAATAACATCACTCTTTGCCAGTATTTAAATAGTCCAAACATGCTTTTGAACAGATGCTGTATGAGACAAATGTAACAGGTTGTCAAATAAATTTAAAATAAAATGTTGCATAAAACTATTTGCATGGTTGCATGGGTTTATGTTGGAATTGTAATGTTCCTTATTCCAAGGTATTTAAAGAGGGAAAACAAAAATTTCTATCTTTGAAAACTTTAAATCAGATTTGGTTCTGCTGTTATTTTTGTTCTTGCAAATGTATGCCCATAACTGCTCAAACTAAGACTGAAATCAACGTGTTTGGATTACTTTTTGTAACATTTGTGTTCTTGTATTTGTACATGCATAAAAATAACCAAAATTACTCATATTTAAAAGGGATTAAATTCTCTGTTAACTGTTTAATTTAAAGAAGTTAAGTGCTACTTAAATATCCAATATCTACAAATGATCAGACACTTGTGGTATTTTTAGTTCTAAGTTTATTTCATTTAATTGTTCTTAGTCAGATTTAATTAATGATTAATTAACAAAATGATTTGTTTTCAGATTCAGTCAATTTATTACATTTAATTTACAATTGATTAAAAAAAATGAAAAGTTAAAGATTGTAAAGATCTATCAGTTCCTTCCATGATGAGAATTGCCTATAGATGCATGAAGATACAAGAGAAGCAAAAAAATATATATATATTGAAGCATTCAAGGAAAACAAAAGTAATGAAGTCTTTACCACTTGCACTCTTAGACCTTCTGAAAAAGCCTTTAGGGGATCATGGGTTGCACAAATATGCATACTAATCTGCCTTTCTTGTGATGGAAAAAATAAAATAAAAAATGAAAATCTATTTTGGGTTATATAAAAAAACTTTAGGTCTAATTTTGTATTATAATAACCATACAATATAAAGTAATTTACATGCAATAATGTTGTATTCCTGTCCCTAGACTGCAGTTCCACAATGACAGTCTTGTTGTGGCTATAGGTTTTTCGAAGTTATGTAACATTTCTCGCTTTTTTTGTATGCAAAGAGGCTGATTAAAAATGCATATCCAACGATTACATTAAAAAATGTTTAACTGTCTATGTTTTCTTTCAGCTACAATCTTCCATTTCTATGTTTAAGACTGATCTTGCCTCTGGTCTCCAATATGCAAATGTTGCTTTCCAAATATTAACTGTTTGAAAAGAAATACAGCAGAAACTTGCCTTACAATGACATATGTAGGCAGGTAAGCCAGTCAGATTACCCTGAACTATATGGGGCCAGACCAAACATAACTTCAGCTTTGTTCGTCAGGTTTCATTTTGTTACTTTGTCTTTCTGATTTTTTTGTTTCACCATTCATTATTTTCTCCAAAAAGTAACCTTAAGTTACTGGAATCAACTGAATAGCATGTAAACTGTAAATAAACATTTTGTCACTATTCTTAGAGTCATTCTTGCTTCTTTTCAGAACTTCCTTCCTACCACGCTTTGTTCCCCTGAGTAAGATCCAGAGCCTTGTTGCTAAATGCAACATGACGCAAAAGAAAACAAAGCACTTGTTTATATTCTATAGTATCTAAATCTACTGTTACCAATAAAATATAGTTTTTGTATTATAAGCATAACACTTTGTAAGGAATAGCAAGAAACAGTTTTCACTGATTCACCATCAAACTCCTAAATTCCTTGTTGTCCTGGATGAGCTCCATGCCTGTGGTCCCCCTCACCCAGAAAACACCAGCTATTCCTCATCCCCCTCACAGTGTGTGGTCAGGTCACAATCTCAAATCTCAGAGTCGCTCTTAAACTCACAGGGGGTTGTATTGACATGCCAATTCCTTCACAGGACCACAAAGTGCACCCCCTTGCAACAGTTACTGAGTGTAACAGGACTATGAAAAGAAATTCATATCTCATGCAACACAAGAGATGATGACTTGCTGCGGTTTTGCATGTTTATGGTTGCTTTTAATAGAATATAGGCTACACATGCATTTGACCTAGTAACTTTAAAGCTAACTCTGTACAACCACTCACAAAAAAAAAAACGTGTTTAGACAGAGGCCATCAGATCCGTGACCCCTTTAGTTCTTAGTACATCTATACCCTGCATGTCAGCTGGTGTTGCAGTAGAGATATGCAACTGAATCTGTTAAAATTCATATACACCTAACAGAGTGAATTACCTACGAATGGCCTTGAGGCACTACAAAGAGCATACGCTTATGCATTGTGGTGAATGAACATAAAAATAAGAAGTGTAATCCTCAAAGCAGCCTTTATTTACATTGTAGTAAACCTTGGCGAGAGACCCTCCAGATGCGTACTTGCATCAGGGGAAACTTTGTATTTATCCAGACATTAAAAAGACAAGGCGATTAATCACTACAGACGTGTTACACAATTCGGATATGCACACAACTACGCCTCTTTAGTCAACTCATCGTAATCATTCTTGAATGAAGACATCCTTGCGAAGTTGTGCTTCGTTACTTAAAGAGTCCGTCATGTGTGATTTAAACATGAGGGAAGCTTAAGGAATCAATGAAACGGGATCTGCGCTTGTTTTATTAAGCACGTTGGTCGAAATACACTAAATTACGCATCATTGCGGACCATCGTTATGGCGTTCTTGCGAGATGTGAATCACTTCTCACTCTTGCTGTAATGGACGGGAAGCCATTTTCTCACAGAGAGCCGGTGTACTGCCGCCACGTGTACAATTTGAGAGCCACGTAACAAAAGTAACCGCTTGAAATTCACATCTGATTTGCGTTTAACTCATTTTAATAGGGATTTGAGGTCGGATTTTTCAGACCTGAGTATACCGCTGAAAAAATCCTCGCAATGAAACATATCATACACAGCGTGCACACACAATAGGCAATGCAACAGTTGCTCACTTCCTGTTGGTAGGCGGTATCCCCGACGCTAGCTAGGCCCTGCTTTCTCAACATCAGTTGTTAGACCTTCTCGTGCCTCGGTTTGGCCCGACATGGAGGGGAGCACGAGAACTTTGGAGATCTGTGGGAAATCTGTCTCGCTGCTGGAGCTGACCTGTTAAAGTTAAACTGGATTCTGCGTTCCCCGCGCAGCCAAGTTCCCAAGAGCCGAATTAAAAAGGATACAGTGTTTCAATAAAACCATGCATCGAATATGTGTGTCACTGCTTAGTATTTACTCCACCTCAAAAATGTTTGCCATAAACTTTGGTTGTAAAACTACTCTAACTAAATGTTTTACTTCACCGCCCTGCTCGTGACCCACAGCTAACAATGTCATAAGGATATTGGTTCGAAATACGTGTTTCGTGATCAACTTTAGCCACTTGCGTAAGGCAAACGAGTACGAAAAGGGCAAGGATAAGGAAAAGCAGCCGGGCAACATCACAGAGGGATTGCATTTACACTTAGAATATCTTAAAACCGAAAATGATAACAAATGGCTTTTTGTCCTGTAAATTGTGTCTCGTTGGAATCCGAGACATTCTTGCAAATGCAGAAACACAAGGTTAAAAGAAAACAGGAAACGTGACGTTGAGCGCAATAAGTAAAACTGGAGCAAGTGTGGGCTAGTATGACTCTGTATGTCTGTGTGCATGGCAGAACATATACGGTGCAATGTACAGAAAACGTTCCTGTCTTTCCAATCAAGCACAGTTTGAGAGAGAGAGAGAGAGCGCGCGCACGAGAGAGAGCAGAGGACCGGCCCCTTCTCTAGCTACACTGAGACCACGTGGTTTCTTCTTTGCAAACAAAAAAATTAGTAAATTCGACTCGGTTTTAGAGGCGGTGCCATCGCCAAGCGGTAGGATCTGTGTGACAGTGCAGGGTACAGCTTTAGGTTGAGGGGCAGCGATCCGCCTATATGCTCGCCACTATTCCATCGTAACAAACATCTGCTTAATTCAAACTGATATCATTTCTACACCGTGCTGGGAATTCGCGAAGGTTGCTACAGTGAAGAATATTTACCACTCGCCTGCAGGACTTAATAAGACTACAACGTTACTGTTAGTAGAACTTTCCCCTTTTTATTTTGGATTGTCTTGCAGTTTGATTTTTTTCCCCTCGTTTTTAATTCCAACCGGCTGACATCTACATGATTTTGTAATCTGCGGGTGTCTTAGTCCTTTTTTCCAAAATTAAGAGCGTTTTGCCGAAAAGTTTTATTTTCATTTCTGTTTTGGGGGGGGGGCGTTAGAGTTTTTCACGATGAACAAGCTATATATTGGAAATCTCAATGAAAACGTGACTGCAGAGGACTTGGTTAAAACCTTTGAAGATAACAAGATCCCATACTCTGGACAGTTTCTCATGAAAACTGGCTATGCGTTTGTTGATTGCCCAGACGACCAATGGGCAATGAAAGCGATTGAAACATTTTCTGGTGAGTAAATAGATTTTAATGGGCCTTTCGTTACCGGTTTGCTTCTTCGCCGGTTTTCTTTCGTAACTTACCCTGGTTAACCTCCCATAAGTGTTTTGCTTGTTTATACTTCAAAATCTATTGTTTTGCTGGGGATCTCGGTTTTATTGTGAAAATGAATCAATGTTTCTACTTTTTGCCATTGAAGTCAGGGCAATGTAAGGCTCTATAGTGCAAAGGTGCCTGAGATGGTGAACTTTTAAGAGGAGAGGGTTTGCATACAATAAAAGCATTCATGCACACATCTACCACGACTTTACTTTCTTTGCTCTGACAGGTTTAAAACGTGCAGTGTACTCTACTTTAGCAAATAACTATGCATTTAGCGTCGTTCTGATTGTAAACTGTAGGACGTGGTTCTCCTAAGCTCAGTCTTTAGGTTTAGTCCAACCTACCCCGGCACAGCTATAGAATCCGGTCTCACCCCTCCCCCTTTTGGCTAATAGGCCAATGGAGCTAAAATGAAACATGTTTCGTGAAGCCCCTATTGAGTTAACAGGCACAATGCTGAGGGATACCTTGTCTTTAACGCATCCGACCATGTAGCATTCTCATATGCTGACTTTAACCATGCAGTTTCATTGCATCTGTCCCACTGACCACAAAATATGTCTCTCCTCGGTTCTCCATATATGTAGCATGTGACGTGTGCTCTATATAGCACGAAGGTCGCCATGCCGATAAGGATCCAGTTAAAACTATCCACCACATGAAGTCACGGTCAAGATTAATTCATCTTCAGCTGTTCTTTTTATCGCTATATGCCTCTTAGGTCTCAACTAGACACGAACAACAAATAATAGCCTACACGTATGGAATCTGTCATACAGTTGACGCAAATAGCTAGTGTAGCCCTGAGCAGTGAACCTAGAAAGCGTCCTAAGAATTTTGTCATTTATTTTATTCTTTTATTTATTCATTTTTTTAGTTCAATTACTACACCCACCCTTGCGAATCCAACACCTCAAAAGCTCGTTTAGGCCTTTCGCAACGCAAGTTATAGGCTACAGTAAAAATACCATTTCTCTTCACACAGGGAAATACATATAAAAATATTTGAGGCACACATTTATTATGTTTTAGTTTTAAAATTGGCTTGGATTATGAGGGCCATTTAAGTAAGCTGTGGTCTCATTTTGTGAGTGGGGTAAAAAAAAATAGAAAAAAAATAATTTATTTCCTTTTTCCAGGTAAAGTGGAACTTCACGGCAAACGAATTGAGGTCGAACATTCTGTCCCTAAGAAGCAGAGGTATTTGCTTTCTCTTGAATAGTTCGACAATTGTTTGCTTACTGTACTATATAAAAGCTGAATGTATATATATGTCGTGGCGGTGATACAAATATGTGTACTGTGTAAGTAGGATCTCGCGGTGTGCTTAAATTGCTGATCTGTTTGGTTGTAACAGTTAAGTAGTTGTTACTTTTTAAGCGTCTAGCTCTCTGTATACGAATATACTTTGTTTCTCTTCACGTGACGGATGTTAAAAGGGGCATATGCTCGTAGCATTACACCACGTGCTGTTACATTCATAGTTACTACAGCGCTATATGGGAGTCGTCTCCACGTTAGGCATATGCGTGCATATTTGTCAAACATGTAACAATGCTGATCTCCGTGTCATTTCAATCACTTGTTCCCTGTTGATTAGGCCTTGGCCTACTGTAAGGCCTAGGCCTCGGTGCTTGATTCGTTTAAACGATTCATGCAACACAGATTTAGTTTTCTAGCCCGCTGTGGTTTTAAAAGCTGCTATTACTTTGGAACACCATCGTTGTTCGTACTTTTGTGCGGATATTTAAATGGTAGACTTTGTAGGGAACGCCGCTTCAGGTCAGCGCTGGAGAAACAAAGCGTAGCCAATATACATGGCTATGTTCCATAAACTGTACAGTTCGAAAGATTTGTTGTCTAAAATATAATTTATCCGTGTTTCTGCCGATAGTTATAAGTAATTGTGGATATGAGACTGTAACTTTTGCTGCTTAAAATTAAAATTATCCTCAGAAATGTATTTATTTGTGTTCTGGGGAGTTTGCATGGCGAGCAGAAGACTGTTTATGTGGAACAAAAAGGTCTCCCCCTTCGTCCCCACCCAGCTCAACTCTCCTTCTTACCTCTTTACACCCTAAACGCATTTTTTTTCACATCCATCCGAGCTACACTTGTTAACCTGGCGTATAACTCGATGGTAAATTGTTTTAAAACGTTGCATCCTGTGGAGAATCTATATAGTAAAACTATAATGTGTGCTAAATAATACAAATAAATAATTTGCAGTGAATATTTTAAATACTGCTGCTCATATATGTTTCAATAATTCTGTGGTAGGTACAGCTGATACATTTACGTTGTTTTTATGGCCGCTTTCTTACCAGTTGAACCAGCGTTTTATGTGTTTGCCTGGTTTACGCGCTTTAGCCATACATCTGTTTGCCGCTGACAGACCTGTTGTGTGAACGTATGCGTTGCATATTTAATATTACACTATACGTATGATATAGCTGTTTTTGAAAATTTTTTTTGCATATTTGTGATACATCTGGAGATACGTACGTAAGATGACGTACGTCTTCAGATGTATAGGCCTACTGATAAAGCGGGCTTTTTTTTTTATCATGAATGAATTTGTAACAGATATACGTTTTTAATAGACCTTAATGGCATACGTTGTGATTAGTGTTGGGAGGCCAACTGTACACTGATAGTAGGCTATGACACGTGGTCGCCATCAGTGTGAAGAGTAACCAACGTCAGCAATTGAGAAAATGGCGTACAACGTAGCTCTCTGTCGAAGGCTCCATTTGAAAGCACTGGGGCATTAACATGAATGGGTGCAAATGCATTTGATAGCGCCATGTAAACAGTTTACTAATCCGTGAACTAATCCTTAATATAATTGCTCGGTGAGATATTTTAGCTAAAAATGCGTTTTGCTCTTAAACTCACATATTTTGCTATTTATGTTTATAGGCTACTTAAGGGACTTTTTTCTCCCTGTGTGCGTATGATAATTTTAGAATTCGTATAGTCTGCTCTGGTGAGACGTTGTGTGGTTCTTTTGAGTTGAAAATTCCAAGTAAGCGGAACGCACGCGCACACACATACACAAAACACAACCAGAGTTGTGGAAAATGCATTAGAAATGTTGATTAGGGTGGAACTGTTACTCGTCGCCATTTTGATAAACGTCTTTGTGGGGCTGGCCTCTGAGGTGCGGGACTTTAAAAAGCAGCGTTCACCCCCAGGTCAGCATATATGTTGATTTGACCCTTTGTTGTGTTGTATGCGTATGTGCTGGTGGAATTGTGACTCTGTCCAATTCAAATAGATATATTTTTGCTTAATTTGTGCATGAACACATTTCAATTGCTTCAGGTTTCATGTGTTGCTTTGGAGAAGTGTGAATGCAGGATGAGTAACAAGATTTGGGGTGGGGTGGAGGGTCAGAGCAGCTTCTTTGCTATTGTGCACACCCCTTACATCTGGTAACATTGGGTCTGACTTATGTAATGCTCATAAGGAAAATTTGAAATGCGTTTTGTTGAAGACGTCTTATTGTTGACAATAAACAAATAATTAAAACTTGTCAACACATCAAGACCACCAAAAGCTGATATCAAGAGCTTTTTTGTATTCAGTTGTTTAAAGTAATATGCTTGTAATAAAGTAGTTGTTGGTGAAACTGATGTTAAATGTGTGCAAAGAATACAGTGAAGACCATAGAGGGTGTAGTGAGTAAGCCATAATGTTTTGTGCATAGAGCTGTGTGGGCGGCTCCATGTCTCACGCCTTGAGTTTCTCCCTGCTTTATGTAATGTTGCATTGGTGTGACGGGGCCATTTGCAATGGCTTGATGGGCCACTTTTGAAGTCCTTCGGCAGGAGAGATTTAGAGACAAGGGGAAGAGACACACCTTTATGACAATACCGGGTGTTAAAAGTGTAACAATGGCCCTTCCCCCTTCTTCCAGATGCTACTCTGCGTGCTCCCTTCCCCTTGTAAGCACCTATCAAGATCCAGCAAGCAGCATGGTTTTTGTTGCTCTTAAAAAAATTCTCATTGTAACACAACAGGGATGTATATTGACAAATTGTGGCAGTGCTGGCAAATTCTTTGTGAACTGAACAATGCCGTAGAGAAGTAGTACAAGAGGCCAGTATGGTGCAAGTCATTGGTGTAGAGCTGCAATAGAAATATATATTTTAAATACACTAGTAAAAATTGCAGTGAAGAAATACTTTGGCAAACGTGAACTAGAATGACTGAAAAAATGAATTATTTCCAAAACGGGAGTTTAAAATAATGTAGCGGCTCTTCTGATTGTATGTGTGTATTCGTGAGTAGTACGTGGAAAAAAAGTGAAAAGTGTAGAACACTAACTGTTTATTGATAAATAGTGAAGGGGAAGACCTGTTGTGTGTGTGACCTATGCGGTGTGTATAGTGTTAGTAGTTTCTCCCTGTTGGTTTTTTTCCCCCTCATGATATTCCGTATTTTGACCGTTCAGTCTTGATTTTTCTTTCAAGTGCTCAATTTTGGAGTAAGCTAGAGACCCTCGTTTACCATGGCCCATGTTTGCTGTCAAATCCATTGTGATTAAATTAGAGCAAAATATCCTTTTAAAGAACAACAATAAATGGATTGTCTGCTGTCTTGCAATTAGTGAGTGCTGTAAATAGCCTGTTTTATGTGTGTTTTTTTTTTTTACATTTTATATACAAAGTAATACACCCAATATCTAACAAATGCTTTGGTTGCTTTGACTGAAGGAAAAACCTACAGGCTTACAGCAGGGTTGAAATAACAGCAGTTTTGTATAAGTAACCCGTAAGGAAGGATTTGTGAATTTAAAGAAACTATGTCCCCCCAGGCCTTTGCAAAGGGGATTCAGAGAGAAA